TACAACTTTCGTTTATGAATCATCTCAAAATTCCTTGTAGATCAAAAGATATAGGCTTCCGAAGCCAGACCAGTGAACCTGCAGATTCTTCCTCACCGCGAACCATTTTCCGCCTCAGCAGTAATCCCACCGCCTCAGGTAATGCCCAGACTCACTCAAAACTCACCCGAAACACACCGAGGCCCTCGGGACCTCAATCCAAACATACCAACACCTCCCATAACATCATTAAAACTTAGTCGAGCCTTCGAATCACTCAAACCGACATCAGAACACCAAATCAACTTCAGATTCAAGCTTGAGAACTTAGGAACTTTCAAATTCCATAAACGATGCCGAAACCTATCAATTCAACTCCGAATGACCTGAAATTTTGCACACACGTCACAAATGACACTACAGACCTACTCAAATTTACGGAATTCCATTCCGACCCCGATATCAAGATTTTCACTACCAACCGGAAAGCGCCAAAATTCTAATTTCGCCAATTCAAGCCTAAATCTACCATGAGCCTCCAAATTACGTTCCGAACACGCTCCTAAGTCCCAAATCATCCAACGGAGCTAATCCAATCCTAAAAATTCAAATCCGAGATCGAGTACTAAAAGTCAAAGACTTGGTCAAGCCTCTCAAATTTTAAGCCTTAAGCTGAGAACCATTCTTCCATATCTGTTCTGTTCCACCTGAAAACCAAAATCGACGATTTACATAAGTCATAATGCATCATACGAGGCTAGTCATACCCGAGAATCGACGAGCGAAATACAAATACTCAAAACGACCGGTCGGGTCGTTATAGAGAGAGAGAAATTTTATTAGAATTACAAGAAGTTTTACTCGTAAAGACTACTAGATTTATTGATGTAGTACAATACCGACTCCTATTGAATTAGGTAAAGGCCTTTTATCGTTTATCCTAATCTCGACACAACTGATATATCTTTGAATAGATTTGAAGAAAACTTAAATTCGATTGTTAACCGAAAGTATACATATTTAACATTAAACCAAAATTATAAAATATAAAAAAAAAGTTTAACGGGTACCAACAAATGAAGCCCTAAGTCCTAATTAACCCCTTTGATTACTTTTAGGTTCTTCTATTTAAGCTCAAATTAAAGTTGATCCAATACTATGCTTCTTTCTCCTATTATGTTCAAATACGTACCATTCTTTTCATATACGATACTCATAGCTGTTGAGTCTTCCATAAGATAAATAAGAATTTAATGGATAATAAAGTTTATGAGAACACTAGATCACGAGGTTGTGGTAAATTAGTTGACCTATTAGTGGGTATAATTTGGTGCCTGGTGCGATAAGAGTATGTGTTAGTAGTTACTTATTTTGTTAGGGCCAAATACATATACAGACCATTAAACTTGGCCCAATTTTTTACTTTGACATTTTAACTTAGCCTTGTTCTATTTTGGTCCCTCTAACCTCATTTCTTTTTCTCCACTTTGACACAAAAATTTTTCTCTCAGGTAAAAATGCAGCGCGTGCAAATACCCAGCTGCTACCCCACCCCCACCCCACTGCCCCCCTCGCAAAAAAAAGTTTTTTCTTTTTTTACTTTTTTTTTTTGTAATTTCAAATTATTATTTTTTTCGTTTTTTCTGCCCACATCCCGGTGAAAAAATATTTTTTTTATATATTTTCAGTAATAACTACGGATTCAACTGAACTCATAACTTTGGACGCATAGTAAAAAAAATTTTATGTAAAAATTCATTAAAATTGTAAAAATAATAGATATAAACCCATAACATTTAAAAATATAATGAGTTTTTTTGTTCCACTTTGACACAAACTTTTATCCCAGGTAAAAATGCAGCGCGGACAAATACCCAGCTGTTACCCCAACCCCCCGCAATTTTTTTTTTGTAATTTCAAATTATTATTTTTTTTCGTTTTTTCTGCCCCCCTCCCGTGGAAAAAATATTTTTTTTATATATTTTCGGTAATAACTACGGGTTCAACTGAACCCATAACTTTTGACGCGGAGTAAAAAATTGTATGTAAAAATTTATTAAAATTGTAAAAAAATAGATATAAACCCATAACTTTAAATATATAATGGGTTCAATGTTTAAAACATTAAAATTGTCGCCTCTACGTTGGGAGTATGAAATTTGACTTAAAAAATGGTTTTCACGTACCTACAAGGGTGAGGCAAATTACACATGGAATCTAGTTAGCTTTTGTGTCAAAGTGGAACAAAAGAAATAGGTTTGGAGGGCCAAAATGGAACAAGGTTGAGTTAAAGTGCCAAAATGAAAAATTGGGCCAAGTTTAATGAGCTGTCTATGTATTTGACCTTTTGTTAGTGGCAGAGTAATAAGAAGTAGTAGGTCTTTTGTAGGAAGAATGTGGTGGATTAGCCCACAAGAAGTTGTTTTCTAAACCTCAATATGCAAAAGGAACTATATGTGGGGTCCAACCCATTATTAGAATAAAGAAAGAAGAAGTGTAATAGGCATGTGTCTATGGATAGCCTCGGCATAGAGCCTTGGAGCCAAAGTTTAGATTTATGGAGGAAAATTAATAATTCTCCTGTAGCATTCTTGGAGACTAAGTTTTGCTCTCCTATAAAAGAGGGACCTCTTTCACTTCTTAAGACACACCAAAAAAGAGAGAGAGAAAGAGTGAGACATCACAGACACGTTATAAGAAAATAGCCTGTGAAGAAAATAGAGAGTGTGAGTGATATTGTCGTGAGGTGGGAATATCAAAAGAGGGTTATTTCTTTTGAGTGTTGTAGTAGTCTTTGAAGTATTTTACTCGGACCTACAAAGTGTAAAATTCCTTGCTATAGTGATATCAGTTGTTTCTATCGGGGTCATGATTTTTTTCCTTATTCAGAAGGGTTTTCCACGTAAAAATCTTGGTGTCGTTGTCACTCTTTTATTCTTGTTGATTATCTTATCTCGGTGCTACATTATTATTCCATTGTTATTACCATGAATATTATTTCTGTGGAGGGTTTATTCCCAACAACTAGTATCAGAGCACAGAGATTAAATAGAGATAACGGTTTCTCAACATGGCAAAGAAGGATGAGAGATTTGCTCATCCAACAAGGATTACACAAGATACTAGATGCTGCTGCCAAAAAGTTTGATACCATGAAATTTGAGGATTGGGCTCACTTGGATGAAAAGGTTGCTAGTGCAATCAGGTTACACTTAACAAATGATGTGGTAAATAACATCATTGATGAAGATATCGCATGTGGTATTTGGACAAGGTTAGAAAGCATGTACATGTCCAAAATGCTGACAAATAAATTGTACCTGAATAAGCAACTATACCCTCTACACATGGAAGAAGGTACAATTTTTTTGTCACATTTAAATGTGTTTAATGGACTAATCACACAGCTTGCCAATCTCGGAGTAAAAATCGAGGAAGAAGATAAAACCATCTTGCTGTTGAACTCGTTGCCATCTTCATACGATAATTTGGCAATAACCATCCTACACGGTAAGACTAGCATTGAGTTGAAAGACGTCACATTGGCTCTTCTACTCAATGATAAGATGAGAAAGAAGCATGAAAATCAAGCATAGGCTCTCCTCACAGAAGGTAGAAGCAGGAGTTATCAAAGGAGTTCAAGCAACTATGGTAGATCCGAAGGTCGTGGGAAGTCCAAGAACCTATCCAAATCAAAAGCCAGAAATTGCTACAATTGCGATTAACCAGGTCACTTCAAAAGAGATTGCGCAAGTCTAAGGAAGGGCAAAGGTAAAACCAGTGCCAGAAGAATGACGATAATACAACTGCCATGGTGCAAAAGAATGATAGTGTTGTTCTCTTCATAAATGAGGAAGAGGAATGCATGCAGTTGACAGATCCAAAGTCGGAATTGGTGGTTGAAACAATATCTTACCATGCCACACCTGTAAGAGATCTTTTTTGCAGATATATAGCAAGTAATTTCGGCACTATGAGAATGGGTAACACAAGTTACTCAAAAATTGCAGGGATTGGTGCCATTTGTATCAAAATAAATGTCGGATGCACATTGGTTCTAAAGGATGTGTGACATGTACCTAATTTGCGGATAAACTTGATCTCGGGAATTGCTTTGGACCGAGATGAGTACAGAACTATTTTGCAAATTAAAAGTGAAGACTCACCAAAGGATCATTGGTGATTGCAAATGTAAGCACGTAATTTTTGACCCGTACGATTTTTAAGAGTTATTTTTAGTACTCGTAGTATTTTTAGTATCTGTTTGATTTTATAGATTAGTATATTTTATCTTCAATTTTAATTTTTAGACACAAAAAATAAAATACGAAAATAGTTCATTACATATTTTCGTATTTCTTTTACTTAAGGCCATTAATATTTTATAATAATATTTTAATTTTTACTATGATTTCAGTTTATTTCTTTTTCTTTACCCTTACTTGAAAATAAAAAAATATATAGTTCCATATTATGATATAGTTTTATTTTAATTAATTGGAATTAATTTTATATTATATTATATTATATTATATTATATTATATTATATTATATTATATTATATTATATTATATTATATTATATTATATTATATTATATTATATTATATTATATTATATTATATTATATTATATTATATTATATTATATTATATTATATTATATTATATTATATTATATTATATTATATTATATTATATTATATTATATTATATTATATTATATTATATTATATTATATTATATTATATTATATTATATTATATTATATTATATTATATTATATTATATTATATTATATTATTGAATAGGAGAATGAAATTTGAGTTGGTTTGTCCATATTTGTCCAAAGGTTCAATAGAGAAGGCCCAAATTCGGATTAACCCAGCAAGAACTGAGCCCAAAACACGTTAAGCCATCTAATCTCAGCCCTCTATCCTTTTTAATCTAATGGCCAAGGTTCTTTCCCCAAACCATATAGAACCCATATTTTTCACAAATCCTACCCCAAGAGAAGCAGCACCCCCACAAATATTCCCACGCTTCTGCCAATCCATTTTTAAAAAAAAACCATTTTCCACGAAAACCTTTCAACCTTTTCCAAAACACCTTACCAAACAAATCCAGAAGCTTCTTTGATTCCAACCTACCGAAATGGATCAAGACAAAGCCAGAAGCTTTTTCTGGATTTTCTCAACTATTTTTGCCGCCATAGCACACAAGAAACACCAGATTTGGCTGGGATTTTTATGCATACAATTTACACACATCGGAGAATCAGCCACACGCACTGAATTGGATATCACTAATAGCTTACAGCTTCACCCCCAACGACTCTCTACCGCCCCTTAGTCCCTTACAATTCATTGACACGCTCATTGGACACTTCTAACTGGAAATAAGAAATTAAATAATTGGTTTCTTTGTCTGTGTATCTGAAATGGTAGCCTCTCTTTGATCCTTTTATAAATGAAAATTCCAACTGCTCTCAGCCATGGTAGGAGCTTGGCCGGTCTGTTTTTTTTTGCAAGAAATCCTTTAGTTATGTTTTTTGATCTAGTTCGAGTTTTCCGACGAGCTTCAAGGTCACTAGTGATAATTTCAGTTAGAGTTTTCGATCCCGGCTCCTGTTCGTGATGCCATTGCTGTAATTCAAAAGGTATCGCACCTTGAGGTCCATTCTTCTCTTAAATAGTCTGCTTTGATCACGTTATTTGGTGTTAATTGTTATTTAGTTGCCCATGATTTTTAACTAATTTAGCTAGGTTACATTGATATGATGATAATTGTTTGAGCTATAGATTGAATTTATTTAGTTGAGTACATGCTGGGATTATCAATTTATGGGCTATAAGTTTCAGTATAATGAACAATAAGCAAATTTGGATCCTATCTAATCAATAATGAGATAGAATTTAAGAATAAGAAAGATATTTTTGTTCTTGTTTCATTTCTCTTCGATAGAGCATATTTTAGGCCGACCACACTTGGGTAGGCAAATTCAAGGTGAGAGGTCGTTCTCTTTAGTTTTATATTCAAGAGAATGCCCCGCGGATTTTGTATATATTTTTATCCGGGGTATGCCCTGAAGTGAATGTAAAAGAAGGCTGAGGCATCATCGATAGAGCATTAGCTAGCATAGTATAGAACTTTTTGTGCTTTTATTTTTATTTTTTCTATATTATTGGGTAGAAACGACCTCGAGCTTTTTGTATATTTATTTCATTTTTGTGTATTTTTGCCTCAATTAGAATATCCATTAAAGCTGACTTGATCATGTATGCAACCATACTAGTTACGGGACTCGGGGAATGCCTAACACCTTCTCCCCGAGTCAAATGAAACCCCTTTCTTAGAATCTCTGGTTCAGTCAGTTTTAGAGTACAAACGTATTTTAAAAGAATAAATCATTTCTAAAAATGGCGACCTGACACACCAAAACCAAATGTTAGGTGGCGACTCTGAAAAATCTTTTGAACACAAATTTTTTCACTTTCTAAATGAAAACCCTTTTGATCTTTACAAATCTTTTTATTCTTTTAAAGAGGGTTAGTGAAGTAAAAAAAGGATGTAACAGCTTTGGCGAATCTGCTTGGGAATAAGAAAGGAAAAAAGGGATACTATGATCTTGTTGGCTTTTTAGAATATTCGTTGAGGTTTTTTTTATTTGCTTTATCTGATTTTATTTTGTTTATGTCATTTTATCATTTGCTAGTTGTTTATGTGTTTACCGTTTTTCCTTATGTTTTTACTACTTTATAATTGTCGTCATTTGCATAACCACGAGTCTTCTTTCTGCAACAAGTCATCCTGAGTACGTTTGAACGTACACGGCCTTTTGTGAGTCACCCGTGTCTTTAGGGGGTGGCGTGGGAGCATGGAGTGGGCGGAAAGCTAGAGCAGCCGCCATCGACCATGTGCCACCGTGAATTGCCTTGTCTAGTGAACCATAAACGTAGGTCAGCCTTTAGGTCATGCTTATTTGCATCATGTCATTTGGACCGAGCAAGGCGCGGTCCCGACACCGTATCCCGTTGTAGGAGGCCTATCCATATTATGTCAAAATGGGTTTGTAGCCCAAAAAGACATTTAATCATCTCTATGTGCTACATGCTGCATTCTTTTAGTGTAAATGGGTCATTTGACAGACCAATGAGAGAGACAAGAAGGTGAAGTTTAAAATGAAGCAAGTAGGGCCCACTCATATTTTTTCATAATTTTCCCGGAAAAAAAAAAATAGAAAATCCAAAAAGATTTTGCATTTTCCATTATTTTTCAAAAAAGACAAAATATTTTCTCCAAATCAATTGTTTTTTTTTTCAAATTCTCCCCCATATCCAATCTTCCCGAACTACGCATAGCCGATTCTTGTCTTTCGGGGAGGGATACGTAGGCAGCCCACATAGGGTCCGATCTTCCTAATGAGTCTTAGGTTCTTGGCTTCGGTGGTCGTAGCCAAATCTTGCATGTCTAGCCACCTTTTGGCCATATTGATAATCTTGCAAAATAGGGATATTTTCTCAAAGTGGTTCGTTATCCCATGTCTTAGAGCCCTAAATTCACAACAAGGTGTCCTATCAGTTTTAAGGTCCGTTCCTGTTGAATTTGCGTGTTTAGCTACTTTTGGCCACATCAGCCATTCTTGCAAAATGGGGCCATTTTCACGAAAATGATTAAGTGACCCATGTCTTAAAATCTTGAGTACACAACTAGGTACCCCATTCCTTAAGATCTTTCCTTGTCGTATTTGCGTCTCTAACCACATTTGGCCATATTGGCCATTTTTGCAAAATGGGTCATTTTTGCGAAGTAATTTCTAGGGCCATAATTATTGGAAGTTTGAAGCCATATAAGCCTTAGTGAGGTATTTCCATGTCTGTGAGGTCACCTTTGTTGAGTTGCACTAGTAGCCACCCTTGGCCACGTAGGTCATTTTGCAAAAATAGCCTAATCATGTCTTGCATGTGTCCAATAAGAGGTGTTGTGGCATTGCATAGTGTCTCGAGTCACTAACTATATTTGGTCTTATTTTTCTCATTCAGGTATGGATCCATGTACAAGAGCTCGAGCATGACAGATACCCTAGGACCATCGCATTTGGGAGCTTGTTTGAGGAAACTTTTTATGTTTTGAGTCTATTTTTGTGGTGTTTTTTTTTTACTTTTTAGTCCTATCTAGTAGTATTCAGTCTTTTAGTTGGTGTCAGAGTTTATCGTAGTATAGTTGAGTTCGTCGATTCTCTCGTTATCATTTGTATTTGAAAACTGAAAAAAAAAAGTTATAAATGAAAAATCCAAAAAGATTTTTATTTTTGGTTTATCTTGTCCATTACCTTTTTTGAACTACGCTTGGTCTGATTCATGTGAAACATGATACGTAGACAACCTACATAGAGTTCGATCTAATCATTCTTTAAAAACTAAAAGAAAGAAAAAATGATGAAGTTGTGGGATGTATGAAATGAGAGGGAAGAAAAGAGTCACAACAGAAAAAGAGATGAAATAAAATGAGTGAAATAAGGAGAGCATGAAAAAATGAAGAGGAAAAAGGGAAAGAAGACTGATGATGACGTCCAAATCCACTACTAAAAATTAAATGGACACGATCGCATACAATATAATCTACCCAACTATGAGTCGGGGTCGAATCCCACAGAGAACAATATGTAGGCGATTAGGAATGTAAGAGAATTATCACTTATCGCGCAATGCCAAACACTTAGATTTTGGTTTAGAAATTATTTTATACCTAAATGCGAAAATGTAAACTAACCTAGAAAGCGAGTAAAATGATCAATGGGTACAAGTATGAATGCATCGGGAATTACACTCAAGTGACGATCCAATGTGTTTCACGATTTTACAAATATGAGTGAGTTTATGTTAATTAGCCACGGATAATAATTCTTAATTAGCTTCTTCCGAAGACTAACAAGACTTCCTAATTGAATTATTCCTAACCCAATTAAGAGATTAAGTACACACGGAATGACTACAAGTAGTTCAATCCTATCCCTAGGTAGAATCTATAAAATGAGGGTTAAAGCCTCAAGTTCTTGTTAATTAATCTTTCCCAATCCCAAATTATCTTTTCCAAAATTAATTCGGAGTTAATGGGCGAGTCCTAGGGTTAGCTAATCCCTTTGGAAACATTAAAGAAAAAGAATAATTAAAGAAACAATAACTCACTTCATAAAAAGATAAAAAATCATTCAATACATAAGCACAACAAGGTATTTAATCCACACTTTAAGAGAGAATATTTCCATAAACAAGATTCAAGTGTTGGATAAAATACTACACACTTCGATATACAATACAAAGCAAGGAAATGAAGAAATAAACATAAATGGGTAAGACATCCTTAACCACAAGCTTCAATTCTTCAAGACCAAAGTGTGTGTGCAAAACCCTAGCTTCAAGACTTGTTCTCTCCAGTCTCTTGGAACTGAAAATAAGCCAAAGATCTCTTACAAGTGAGCCTAGTCGGGTATTAAATGGTTTGGGGCTAAAAATGTGAAATTCCAGAATTGCCTAGGTCTGAAGCTCGATTTTCGCATTTGCAAACACAGGTTTGCCATTGCGAAGTATGGCTATATTGTGCACTTTCGCATTTCCGAAGAGGACTTCGCATTTGCAAAGATTGGCTCCCCTGGAATGCGAAGTCTTTTTCACATTTGCGATTACTGCCTAGATCATATTCCTTCGCATCTCCCATACTTTCCTCGCAATACCCAAGCCTGTAATCTTCGCAATTCCCTCGCTTATGTCGCAATTGCGACCACTGAGGGCATTGCCCAGATTTTCCTCTTTTCAGCTTCTTTTTGACTTGTTTCACTTGGTTTCTTCAACATCACTTCTAAATCACATAGAACCTGTAATATAGAAGTAAATGGCATTAAACACATGATTTTATCACATCAATCATAGCAAAAATATAAGCTTAAAGACAAGATAAGTTGGTAAAATACCAACTTATCAAACTCCCGAACTTAAACTATTGCTTGTCCTCAAGCAATGAAAGCGACAAAATCTCTTCCCAAGTGTTTAACTCAACATTATATCCTTATCATGCCAAGCCAAAAAGTCTACTATAAGTACAAACGCATGACCTCGATTGGTACCAACAATTAAACCAATGCATATGAATTGACAAACACTTTTCATGACTTTTGTTACATTTCAAATGCTCAAGCACTATACAAATCAAAGTAGCAAATCAAGTCATGACACTAAAGCTTCAAAATTTGCGTCTCTATCACAATTATCTTTCTTTGGTCATTTCTTCTAATTGAAAATGAGATTAAATTCACATCTCAAATTTCTTGTGCCCTCACATTTAAGAGAGGATCCACACTCATAAATCTTAATTCAAAACAAAAATGGGATATCAAATGGAAAGAATTAACTCTCTCTCTCTCTCACAAAGGTGTTCAAATGCATACAAGTAGTACCATAGGCTTGCCCTTCATGTATCTCTCCACTAATATAGACAACTTGGTTCGAAATCAATTAGAACTTAAAGGGTTGTAGTTTAGGCCTTTGGTTAAGGTAGGGCACAATTTTGGTTAGAGTGACTCAAACCTCCCAAGCACTACAACATTTACAATCAAGGTCCACTTCCTTCAAAAACATTCTCCATCCTTTCTTTACTTTTCATTCCACACCTAATCTTCCCTTTATTCACAATTTCTTATCATTTTATTCTACTTTTTTGTTCTTCCTTCCTTTTCAAAATCAAGGAAGATTTCACTTTTTATCCTTCATTTTTTTTCTACATTCCACCTTTTAAACAACTTCCATATCACAACTTTTCCAACCTCCCCCCCCCCCCC